GTGAGGCTTGGCTGGATGACAGGGCACCTGACGGCAGAGTGGTGTCAGGTAGCTCCAGGGCATTCACAATGGACCCAGAACTCTGTGCTATGGGAGGAGCACAACAGCAGTGGGGTCTGCTGTCCCATCAGAAATCAGTGGTGCAAATCAGCAGTGGCAATAGAGATGCTCCACAGTCACCAAAATGCTGTCCTTGTTGCTTAGGCACAGCTATTCGCCCCAGGATTCCCTTCTTATTCCTTCATCCAGGCTGCAGGCAAATGCATTATTTTTTATTTCAAATCCAATCTTTAGGACAGACTGTCCACACTGTTATTTGGAAGTGATTAGATATAAGTGTTAACGATAACCCATCTGTGTCGGTTGCTGTGGAAACGACACACACGTATTTTTTCAATGCAGACACAAAATGGCAAGCCGCAGGCCGGGTGAATAATGGAGATGTATCCTCTTCCTCTTCACACCATAGCAATATCTAGTCTCCGCGCAGAAGTCCTCCATCACACCAGACAACATTAGTGACAGAGGTGGTTGATACATGTTTTTCTGTAGCAGTCGCAGCCAGCTAACAGGGCTAACAGCTCTCTGGACATGACGTCACCATTATGTGTCAGATGTGAAGTGATGAAAAGGGCAGGTTGAGAGCCAAGTTTTAAATCAGAAATCAAACCACCCATGTATGTTGTTTAAATCTGATTTGATGAATGAAATATTCATTCTGATGCTTCAGTGTGCCATAAATCTGATACAGGCTGTCAGTCTCTACATAACCTAATACGCATCCCTAAGTTCAGACCAGCAGGCTTCTCTGTTTCCTTAAGCCTCAAACTCATAATTTAATTCACATAGATCGTCTTTTATAATTATCTGCTCATCACTACAGTCATAACCAGTTGTTGTTTGAAGATACACCATGTCATATTATGTTCTTCTAATATAACATATATATGACAACTGAGGTGTGGTCTTGATAATTCACCCTGCTGGATGTATACTCTGTGCATGCGCCTATACTTTCTGCTGGCTTGTAGAGATCAGTTGAAGGATGAGAGGGAGAGGGAAGGTGAAGCTCACATGAAATCAAATGTCTTTTCTTATAGATGTTTTTATATTACACCGATAGTTCAGTCAATTAACAAAGACTACTCTCTTACACAACAGCCTGAAATACCAGCACTTGATGTGCTGGTATTTAAAGGCTTTTAATATAACTTTTTTCCTCGCTCACCTTAGAGCACCTAAAGATTTTTCCTTTTTTCTGTGACACCTACAAATGTAGAAAAGGCTGCCCCCCCACCCCCCCCCACCCAAGTTCGAATGCAATATAGAAGACTAATTGTAGACTATTACAATTTGCAGTATCCACATCAAGAAGGAAATTTCAATCATAAGCAACAGCTTTGGTAACTAATTTCCATAAATTATCAAAGCTTTAAATCTTTATAAAAAAGATGTAATGGTGGTGAGATAGAGACGTTTTAATTTGGTCTGTGAAGAAATTAATCTCCCGTCTTTCTATTGTCAACCTTATGCCCCCGTCAGTCAGCAGACAGGAAACAAAGGCACAGGTTGCCGTTCAGTGCAGGTGTACAGTGTGCTTTTTTTTCAAGTGTATTATGCTGAAGGTATCAGCTGGAAGGGGATGGAGTATTCAGGCTAGATAAGTGGATGTCATTATTGTCTATTTTTATTAAAAGCTGGTTAGCCATTGTATGAACGAGACCCGATTGGCCCAGTTTATATAACAGTGTAGTTAATTACTTTTCATTTTACACTTGACCACAGGAACCTCGTCATGACCTGCGTACTGAATCAAAGAAATAACTGCATTATTATCTGACTGGTTCCTTCTTTTTATATCTGTTTTAAACAATCTAACCACGTGGGGCTTCAAAGTGTTCAGGCAGTCGGGTGGATTTTATATTTCTGGGAGTTCCACAAAAAAAAGAAGAAAAAAAAAGAACATGGCTCCAAAGGGCTGCTGGAGCTCTAGGTAGGCAGTGGATGATTGCTGTTTATGACTACATTAAAATGTGTCTTGGTCCCCTTGTAAGGACAGAATCTGCTCTATCTTTCCATCTGCTTTGGGGTTGTAATATAATGCGTATAAACGAGGCCATTTTAACCCAAACTAAATGGTGTTATGAATTCAGATGTCATCATAATTGTCCCCTCGTTCATTCTCAGCCCCATAGCTTCTTACTCCTACCACAATGCCCAAACAATCCCGCGCTCCCGCCTCCAGTCTCCCAGAATCTAATCCTTCTGCTTGTCCCCTCCAGCCAAAGCGCCGTCCGTGTCTGCCTGACCAACTCCCCACTCCTGCTCAGCCTCCCCTTCCATCCTTCCGTCTTGCCGCATCCCTGCAGCCCCCAAGGCCTGGCAAAGGATTTGTGCTCTGACTAAAAGGAGAATCTATTTCCCATCTCTGCAGCCCTAGCTAGTTATCATACCCAGGAAACATGCTGACTCTCTGGAGTGATGCCTTGAGGAGAAGTTTAAGCAAGAATCCATATTTAAACAACTAAATGCCCCCTCACATTTAAATAGTCGTGGAGTCTCAGAGGCCTCCAATCATATTTAAGAATGCACCATTGAAATATCCAGCTGCATGAGTCAACAGCAAGTTTAATGAAATAAAACAGAAGCAATAGTACAATCGTCTGGTGTGATGGAGGAGTTTTGTTAAGTTCGGCTTATTTTCATAACTTCAATTAGATCAATCAGTGTAATTTAAATTCCACTTGAATGAATTATAAATGGTGTGTTCTGCCTTTGTATTTTTGCTCCAACACATACTGATAAACACATTTCCACAGTTAAAAATGTTGCTGAGTGTAGATGCACCAGCCAAAGAGCATCTTTAATAGAAAAAAAAGAAAAAATATATTTTTATCCACCAAAACCTCCCATTTCCCTTATTTTCTCATTTCTCACTATCACAAACAAAAACATAAAAAAGTCTTTGTTTGGATATTTTTCAAGAATCTTTCGCTCGTGCTTTAAAATTTATCTTAAGTTCCAGTAAATGTTACAGGTCTCTGAGAAGTCCGAGACCGTTTTGTGACTGTGTATGATTTATTGATGAAGTGATGCAGACGTACTGCTGGGAGAAAAAACATGATGGACCCCAGGCCTCAAGTAATCATTATTTAGATGAAAGACCAAGAAGTGCACCTGTGCAGTGGGAGAAATATGACTGTGATGGGGAGATGAACAGGGTTCTGGAAACATTTTGAAGCCCACTAATGGTATTAACAACACAGTGTTGCTAGCTCTTACCTAAGCCCTAAAAGCATTTCTCAATATCTGGTGTGTACGTACTAAAAGGCTGATGGTTTGAATGATTACTAGCATGGATTTGTTTGCCAGAAAAGTGGTGGAATGGTAGAAAGCACAGTCCCGAGGTATCGATCTGAGCTGACTCGTGCAGCAGACGCTGGCCTGTTCTGCTGTATCAGTGCTTTCCTGACTTTTACAAGAGGTGCTCATGTGTGGGGGTTGGGGGAAGAATGCAATTGCATGTGCACTGTGAGGAGTCATCTTTCTGTTGTGGATCGGTGGTAAGTGGCCATTAGTAAACTGATCTTTGGAAGAGGAAATTTAATGGTCTCCTAACTGTATTTACAAGCCATTCAATTTGATAAAGGGTGTGATCTTGAATGATTTATTATAATGCCGCTCTGCTCCTCTTCAAGCTATCAGATTCAGGATTTCATCAATGTTTTTTATTCATTCATTTACTCTCTCATTCTTTCATCACATCTCATCAGTGTGTAACAGCGAAAACAGATCTAATAATTTATTCTAATGCTGGCAAAATAGTGACTGTCACAAACTATATTTCCAGCGCTCTGTTTTTTTCTTTTCGTTAGTCTTATTTCGATCTCCTAGGGACTCGTTTTTAGTTAAATTGCAGAAATATTGTCTAGCTTTCTGCTCGGTTAAACATCAAAAGCTGAGGAAAAGGGAAATATTAAAATATGGAGATAGGAAGTAGCTCACTGGGGCTACTGATTAGTGTACCAATCATTGTCATCAGAATTCATTTGGCAGTGGCAGATTTAGAAAATGAAACTTTTGTCTGACTAATAATGATAATAACAGCAATAATGGTGCTTTTTAAATTCCCAGTCTCCATGACACCCTCTAATGTTTGCCTTCATGTCCGCACAAATACACAGACATTGTCTCCATACACAGGAATCTCTTTATACATCTACTAAATAAAGAGTCTGCCTCCCTCCAAGTAAATGTTCTGAGTGTAATTATTGAAATCAGTGACAATAGTGCGCATGGCACACGTCCACTGTTACTTCTCAATACGTACTGTATGTCACTTCCATCTGGTGCTGGACATGAATAACATAAATACACATCTTCACTTCCTGTATCGAGGATCTACACCTGCTGATGTCACATACAGTATCAATGGGCCAGGATTCTGTCTGTAAATATATATGTGGTATTTTTGTAGACACATAAATAGAAACACAAAGTTCTTGAACATGCTGTACGTCTTCTTATTTATTATACACTGCGTACAAATAGATCTGAATCATTCTTTATATATACAGAACAGTATCATAGAGAATATTTGAACACATGCCCCATATTGAGATATTTAAATTTTATGATAAAGAGATATTTTTAATAGTGTACGTGTTTTTTTGTCTCAATTTATTCAATTTCTGCTGCCCCTAATTTGCACACTCTTATTATTGGAGTCCATAACCTCACTGTGTTCGTATATATTTCTACCTTATATAATCTTCAGAATAATACTAGTGCAAAAGGCTATTTAATATTTAAGAGTGTTTAATATTTAATACTATTTTCTGACTTTTGAAGAGTGAACATTAGGAGGCCAGCAAAATTCAGACATTGGTCCTGAGCTGTAGCTGTTCCCAGTCGAGCCATCAAACCAAGAAAAGACAGTGTAGCTGAAAAATACTTTCCTTGTTTTGAAGGAATTCATTTGTTGTCTCTCTGTTTTTTAGCATCCCCATCGGCGAGTGACCTTCTCCACCACTAACCCTGTGCAGGACCTGCAGGATGCCTCTCAGCACAGCTACTATGACAGCGGTTTGGAGGAATCTGAGACTCCCAGCAGCAAGTCATCGTCTGGTCCTCGCATCGGACCCCTGACCCTGCCTGAGGACCACTATGAGAGAACCACTCCAGATGGCAGCATTGGAGAGACCGAGCACCCGGAAAACGGTACGGTGACAATCCCCTCCTCTCTGTCGCGCTCGCCATGAATATGTATTTAAATGTAAATGGTTTTAATAGGCTGTCGTGGTGTGGGCGCTGTTGTTGCCAATGGAGACATTTCTGGGAGATGTGTTTGTGCTCTGTGGCCGTTTTACAGTGGAAATGTTGTGGCACCCGTGACGCTGACTCGCTGTGTTTGTCGATGACTGTGTGAAATGTTATTGGTTTTTAAGCAGATCTGTGCTTGTGTAGGTGTGTGCGTGGGCGTGTGTGTGTGTGTGTGTGTGTGTATGGTATCTGAGCCGGAGTTAGCCGTGTTTCCATCCTCCTCATCAGCAGGTCCTCTGTCAGACATCCTTAATGACCCTCTCTCACAAGTGCGCTAATTAAAAAGCCCAACTAATGGAGCATTTGCCCTCTAAATAAATCTGAACCATGACATCTGTGCAGACAACACTATGTTTACTCGAAGCACCTTTTTGCCTCCAGTTGGACCCAAGTTGCACTGCGGCTTAGGTGTGCACAGGCCATAATTTCTAGGCACAGTAATCAATCCACAGGGTGACCACTGTTGGTCTCAGCACAGGTCCTTATTAGAAAAAAAGTCCCAGCCAACGCTGTACCTGCCGTGCAGCTGCCAACTGTTTTGCTGCCTTACGCTGCCAAACATAATTCATTACATGTCTTGCAACACACTTTGATAAGTGATTCACATGCTTCACATTTTCAGACATTATGGTAAATTTGCATCGCACCGCTCTCTGGATCAGACACTTTTACATGAGGATATTTTGTTGCTCACCTTGAACGTCTCGCTTTTCTTCCAATATTTGTAAATCATTAGTTTGTGGTATTAAAGTGAGGTTTTATCTCTGCGTTTCGTGCTTGGGGTGCGGGTTTGAGGTGAGTAATGAGGCTTTTTCTGCCCTGTGCAGAGTGGGGCATGTATCAGCCAGGACTTGCTAGAACAGTTACTTTGTCACGGTCGAAGTGAAAAATACACAGATGTATCTTTTGTCAATGGGACTGTATTTCCACGTGTGGAGACATTTCTGGATTTTTTTTTTTTTTTAAGTGTGGAGGAAAAAAAAGCCTTTTTCAGTCTCAAGCATTCCCAGGAGCAAAACCTCACAGTATCACAGGCTAAAACGTGTCATCGTCATGCCAAAACGAATGACAAAGTTCTGTTATTAGTACAATGTCTTGCATTGTGATGCATTGCCTCTTTACTAGACACTTGTGCTGGATCTAATTAGCTTGCTTATTCATCTCTATTGCAAATGTTTATTTGTTTACATCAATTAGTGACACCATATTTCAAGAGCAAGAAGAGGGTGGTGGGTGTGTAGGAGAGGATAAGTTCTGCCAATATGGCATTTCCCTCTGGCCGCATAGAGGTCAGAAATTGCTTAACATCGCATTTAATAAATAGTTTTGTTTGCCCCATATAAAGGCTAGCTGTTGAGTATTTCCATTTGCTCACTTTCCTATGTGTGAAATATGCATTTCCTTTTTTCTTTTTTCTATTGTTGTACCTGTTTATTGTGTTTTTCACATCTGCAGAACACAGGTTTTTGTCAGACAGGGTGCTCTTTGTTGTCAGCAGCGGGAGAGCAAGATTGGGAGAAGAGATGGAGCAGTTAAAGAATGAAAAGATGGCACAAGATGGGGGAGATGTTAGATTGTGACAGGGAGCGGGGACTAAGAGTCTCTGACAAGTAAGCAAAGCCCATAGGATGAGCCCCGAGGACAGGGAGATGCAAAGATGAACCGCTAACTGAGGATAGACCTAATTAAAATGTGATTCCCACTTCAGGGAGATAACCGAGAGCCCACATAAAATGAAGCATTAGACAGAAAAATCAAACCAGACAGAGGAATTCCTCCCCAGCTCCACCTGAACAGTGACGTGAAGCCTTTTTTTTAAGCATTTGAGTGACAGAGTGACAGGTTGTACTGGTGCGGAGCTTTATTCATTGCAGTGGAGATGAGTGACAGCCAAAAAATGGGGAGGTGAGCATGATGTGTCATTCCATTTAAGTTGGATAAAACACAGTATATGAACCCCAGACTGTCAGGTTTGCATCACTGGGCCCAGGAAATATCGACATGGATGTGTTTTGTTATACAAGTTGAACTTTGGCAGTGCTGAATCTACATTTTGAGAGAGTGTCAGTGTCCCACAGCGGAGAGTGATGTATAGTCATGATCCATTTTAGTTTAGCTGTTTGTTGAAATTATGGTCGCACTCAGACCTTAACTGTATTAGACTGGAATTAGGTCAGCTGCTGGAGTCTCAGTGTGGATACATCCCAGGCTGTGCAATTCCTTTCTTCAAGACATGCTAATATTAAGTATGTTAATGCCAGGGGTTGTCATGTATTGTATTATTGTATCATTATAATCAATTCATTTATATCATCTGATGTTCTCTGTCTTTTGAGGAGTCCTGCAGACTGAAGAATCACGGCAGAGAGCAAAGAGTCTGTGCGGTCTCTAACAGTCTCTCTGGTTCACTGAAGTAGACATCAACATATTCCCTCATGGTGCTTGGCTTTGGAATTAAGAGTAGTTTCAAACTACAGTAATAAAATTTGTGATATATGACATGCATGCTGCCTGATCTGCAGCAATTAATTTCTGGAGTTCCTTTTTTCGTATGCCTGAGCAGCTGCTCCCTCCTCCCACTTTTTTCTAATTCTTATCTTCAGGCCGTGTTAGAGTGCACTCCATTTCACTTCCCCCTTGTGTATTTTTCACTCTTATGTTCACACATGTAGCGTGCACATTGCTCTTCTGTTGGTTAATCTCATCAGAAATGTTTATCCATCAGATGCACGTGTGTGTCTGCGTGTGCATGCACCTGCATGCATGCATGTATTTCTTCATATTTGTGTGTGTTGCGTCACACCCCGAATCCCTAAATCATTTTGATTACGGTGCTATTTTACTTTAATAGACTCTCATCATAATCACTGAGCTCTGTAATTCTCTTTAAATTGATTGCTGTAGACAGCATGAAAACTGCTTATCTTGTATGTCTGGTTGCTGTCAAGATGCATGATTTGTCCTCCACAGTGAAATCAGATGAAGGCTGCTTTGCCCCATCTGTCCATCTCTCTGTATCTCAGACACTGCTGATCAGATTTTGAACAGTGGTCGTATCAAAGTCATTTACACTCTTTGTTACTGGTTCATGGTAGTTTTGATTTCAGAAGTGGGCTGGGGGCGGGAACACAAGCCGAAAGGAAAGCAAACAAAACAGTTACATGTGATTGCATTTGTATATGTATACAAATCAAGCAAATAACACATTATAGAATTGGACATTGGGCTTTCCAATTGAATTGTAGTCTAATAAAACCAATAAAAAATTAATGTAAATTGTGGCATCCTTAATACACTAACCTCTGAAAAGTTTTATCAGTAGAAATCAGAAGCTCACGACAGATGAATATTGTATTTGCTCCTTTACTATAAAGCACACTGTGCTGCCTTATCCTGGACTCATATTGAAACATATATGTTCAGGAGAATACTGACTATATATCATTACAGGGTTTTGCAGTGTTTTTGCAGCTGCAGTGTTGTCTGCAGGCTGCAGGTTAGGGTAGAGGGGGTGTTGCCTGAGAGGATTGAAGTTTGAACAACTATTATTTATGTAAGAAATCAGTTACACAAGATGATCTGTCAAATTTAGTCATCTATAATCTCTGCGTTGACTTGGTTTGATTTTGCTTCATATAGTCTTTTAGTTAATTCCATTAATTTGATTTCATGACAAAGACAACTGATGAAACAAACTGACTTTTTAAATGATTATTTTTCCTACCCTGAGCCAGTGAGCGTATTTTGAGTCCCAGCACACACAAATAGTTTAACCTCCTGCCGCCCCAGAGCACGAGGTATGAGTCATCCGGGACCTATGATGGGCCTCCTCTCTCTGCTCAGGACACAAGTTTGACTGGCAATCCCGTCATGTCCAGTCCAACCCAGACAATAATCACTCTTCTGGGGATCAGCGGTTAGGCATCTTGGCTGTGATACGAAGGCTCACACCAATAGGACACAGGTGGATTGAAGACAGGTACCAGTGTGCACGCACACACGCACACACACACACACACACACACACACACACACACACACACACACACACACCCACACATGCACGCACAAACACATACACACACACTCAACTGACCACAGATGGAGGAATTTTGATGTGGCCAGTTGCCCAGTGTGAGGTCTCCCTGTGTCTTCCTCTGTACGGACTCTCTGCCATATGGGCTGTTGAGAAGGGTGAGATAAAATGGTATAAATGCCGTTTGCATGATAATGAAGTTCTTTAGTGATGCTGTCTGATTTTCCTGCCTTAGATCTCTCAGATGACGCATGTACCGTCGTATATTTGTTCTTTTTGAACTCCTGTCAGGGATTTTCCTCTGCTTTCAGCGCTTGCCATATCAAGGGTACAACCATTTTAGCCATTACTGCTTTTGACATCATGAGTTCCCCGTGTATATCTGGTCTGTGTGTACAAAGCATGAGACACATTTTAAACAAAGGAAAGATGTGGAGAAAGCCATTGTGTAGACTGAGAGTCAGAACATCAGACTAATGGGGCTTGTTTGGCCTATGAGTGCCAGATTGGGCCCCTGCCCGGGCACCAATATAGTGTACTGATGCGAGGGTGTAGATTTCCTCAAGCAGATGTCAATGTGCTTTGTCAGAGTCCCCACTTTTGAGTGGAGGAGACCATGCCAGCCTGTACCAGCACAGAGGCCTATGCCAGCCACTGCTGGAATTGCTGCCACCCGAGAAGGGACAGGTCATGGGACTGGCAGTTTTGTGGAGGCTTCTGTGGAAAAAAGTCCTTACAAGTGGTCCCCTGAGGCAAGTTGTCATGAGTAATACGCCTATAATCCCAAGCTCATTCTAGCACATGCATTATGCTCAGCTCACATCAGCAGCGGCTGTTTGCCCCCCCCCCCCCCAAATTGTTT